GAAGGCCTCCCGATTTGGGTAATTATATTCTGACAAACCCACAAAAGTTTGATAATGTGGGTCACCTCTCACCGTCAGCGACCCAGCCCAGGTCTATCCCAAACCCGCACTCCAACCATACCCACACCCTTTCCAACTGCGCCTCTTTCAATAGAGGCAATCAATTGCCTGGGAAAAAATCAACCACACCATCTCAGTTGTGAAGTGACATTGAGTGTCAGTCCTTCAAGATCGAGCAAAGATCTCAAACGTCCCAGCGCGAATTCTAACAACCTCCAAACAAATTATAACCAGGCAACTGAAGAGATGCCTCTGTTTTCAAGCATAATTGGCGGTCTACCCAAGAAAACTCCTCTTAATGGCGAACCCAAACAACCCCAGCAACCAACAGAACATCACTCCCCTAACGATGTCAACCCTCCCACTACCACCGGACTTGATGCCGGAATCTTGGCTGGGAGATGGCACTACAGGGCTAGTCACTACAAATGATGGTTGGACCAGTCCCAATATCCTCACCATCCAACACCAACGCTATCTTGCACGGCTAGCGACCCACCTTCTTCACCAAGGCCTGCCAAACTTCGGCCACCAGCTATGGTTGTCTACCCTCCTCCAATCCCAATACATGTGCACACAACAACCGTCACTAGAGGAGCTCAACAACCTGATGGGACAACTCTGTCAAACAATGCCCTTTTTTCACTCATGGACGTGAACACACCACTCCCATCACCTGCCTTTACCATGTGGCCGCGGGTAAATCAGTCGATTCCCCCAACAATGACTCAGTCCACGGCAATGGACCAACTAATCAAAGAGAAGAACCAGACCCTAGTGTACCTCAAGGAGTCCAACGCAGATCCTGAAAAAATTAGGAGTCCCCAAAACAAGAGTACTCCTCATGCAAGAAGCTCAGGAGATCGAGTTCAAAGAGTCGTTCGGAGAAATGCTTATTGCTCTCTGCCCCTGAAAACTCACAAGTTGCAAACTAAATCTCCAAGTTCTCTCATCTCTAAACTTAGGGAACTCGGTAGTGGCCCTAAGCCCTGTACTGGGAAGAGTGAAAGCGACCCCTGTGGGAAAGGGGAAGGGCCTCAAAAGGAAAGCCCCATCTCAAAATCCTTTACTGATGAACTCCATAATATGAAATGCGATGGAAGCCAACAGTGCTGAGTTCCGCAGGCACTGTGCCTCCATGGTCAAGCTGCACAACCATGCTGATTTTGTTCTCCTTGAGACAAGAATGGATGACCATACACACCTGACTGCAAAGCTCCAGTTCACAACCCAGTTTCAATCCCCTGCCATAGGGCAATCTAGGGGTATTGCTGTTATGTGGAAGGATGACCTAGTGAAGCTAGAGGAAGTCTGTACCACACCCCAGGGTGTGCATGTCATGGTTAAGGTGATCCCTGATGACTCTAAATGACTATTCTCTGCTATTTATGCTAGTAGTCACATTCATGATAGAATAAGATTATGGCAGTCCCTTGAGGGCATGGCCTCTGTTTATAAAGGTAGTTGGCTTGTATGAGGAGACTTCAATGAAGTCCTAAAAGCCAGAGATAAATTTGGGGGCAACATCATTAATAATAGTAGAAGTAATCGTTTTTGGAACTGTTTGAACCAATGTAGACTAGTTGACCTAGACTTCAAGGGCTCAAAATATACTTGGTCTAATAAAATATACACTAACATGCAAGACTTTATCCTAGAAAGGCTGGATAGGTGTTTTGCTAGTGATGACTGGATTGAGTCATACCCTGAATCAACAGTAACCCATCTCTCAAGGACCCACTCTGACCACTGCCCATTACTCTTCACCATTACTAGTCAACAGTACAATGATCATAGAAGGCCCTTTAGATTCGATTCTATGTGGTGCAGTCACCCTGAATTCTCCTCCATTGTTCAAAAAGGCTTCCACTCCACAAATGATCTTTTGGGTGACACAAACACCTTTAAAGCTAATGTGACTACCTGGAATAGACATGTCTTTGGAAACATCTTCCATAAAAAGAAACACATTTTGGCTAGGCTTAATGGCATCTAAAAATCTAATGCCTATCCTTTCGGCACCTACCTCCATGACTTAGAATCTAACCTCTAAGCAGAGTTCTCAACTATCCTTAAGAATGAGGAGGATTTTTGGAAGTTCAAATCCAGAATTAGCTGATTGTGTGAAGGATCTGCCACCACTAGATTCTTTCACACCACTACCATTAACAGAAGAAGGAGAAATAGGATCCTAAGCTTAACAGATGAAGTAGGTAATCAAATCAAAGACCCCCACCTCATCAAAGAAACCACCAGAGGCTACTTTGCAAACCTTTTCACCACATCCCATGCCTCATCTACCTACAAAAACAACTGTTGCGAGGACACTCCTCTAGTCCTTACTGATAGCATGAGAGCATCCCTTGATCAACCTCTTAGGTACTCTGAAATCAAGAAGGCCATGGACTGTTTCAAACCTTTTAAGGCACGTGGGCCTGATGGGCTGCACCCTTTCTTCTACCAAAAATACTGGAACATCCTATCTACCCAAGTCACCAACTTTTGTCAGAAGGTATTCACCACTTCAACCATTCCCCCTGAAGTTAATAGGACTCTCTTATGCTTGATCCCTAAATGCCAAAATGCTACTATGCTTAAGAGCTTTAGACCAATTGGACTGTGCAACACAATGTACAAGCTTGTCACTAAGATCATAGTGAATAGGATAAAGCCCTTACTCCAGACCATAATTGGGCTCACACAAGCCAGTTTCCTATCTAACAGGAGCGCTGCTAATAATGCCATAATTGTTCAGGAATACATCACCCATTTCCAAAAGATGAAAGGCAAGAATGCTAACATGGTCCTAAAGATAGACTTAGAGAAAGCCTTTGACAAACTTGAATGGTCCTTTATTAGGGACTCTCTAATGTTCTTCAAGTTTCCACCTAAATTGATCAATATGATCATTTCCTGTATCTCTTCTAGCTCCATATCCATTCTAGTCAATGGGAGCCAAACTGAGCCTTTCAACCCTACTAGAGGAATCAGGCAGGGTGACCCCATCTCCCCCTACCTAATCATTATTTGCATGGAAACTGCACATGATCAAATGGGATACAATTACTAAGCCAAAGAACATGTGGGTCTTGGTCTTCAGCAAGCCCACATGAAAAACAAAGCCAGCCTGACTAGTCTAGCTTGGAGATTATACCAGAGCATAAACACAATGTGGGCTAGGGTCTTGATGGGGAAGCACTGTATTGGTAACCAGGTTAGAGCTAAACCTAAGACTAGGACTTGGCAATGCATTCAAGAAGGTTGGAGGGTTTGTATTAAGGCCTCTAGATGGGTTGTCCATAAAGGGGATAGAGTCAACTTCTTTATCGACAACTGGATCCCCAATATGCAACCCCTTAACTCAATCCTCCATGGGCCTTGGCATAACTCTTACTTCACTCTAAAGATAAGCTCCATCATCCACAATGGGGAATGGAACCTTGATGATGTCCACTACCCCATCCCCATGGACATTAATAGTGTTATACACTCCACCTCCATCCCTGTTTCTAGCAACTCTGAGGATAAAGTTATCTGGAACCTCAATGAAAATGGGCTTTTTAGCTCTAAACCAACCTACAACCTCATTAGTTCTGAGCTAAACCTTAGTATTAGCCAAAAGGACTCATTTGGCTGGATTTGGATGCTAAAAGTCCCTAATAAGATAAAAAATTTTTACTTGGATGATGCAACACAACAGACTTCCCACTGCTAAGTACCTAAACAACATAGGCTTAAATGTAAGCCCAATATGCTATTTCTACTCCTCTGAAGTGGAAGACATAAACCACATCTTCTTTGAATGCATCAATGCAAAAACATTCTGGCTGGCCCTAACACAGGAGTGTACAAACCAGGTTTGTCATCCACACCTTGTGTTTTCAATGGTTCACTGGGAGGAAACATGGCACAAGGTCAAGAACATGTGCTTCAATGATGCTATTGATCGGAAATCCCTTCTACCTTTCTGCTTTTGGAGCCTATGGCTCACAAGAAACAATAATGTTTTCGACAAAAAGAAGAACCTCACCCCTGTTAAACAAACTATTGCTAGAGCTACTGAATACTATCACATAGTTGTCTACCACATGGACAAAGGGGAAAGCACTGCAATTCACATTAAATGGGAGCCTCCACCAAATGGCTCCTATGAGCTAAACACTGATGGGGCTGCTTGCCATAAAATAAGAGTAGGAGGGGTTGGGGGTGTCTTCAAGAACAACATGGGTGACTGGGTGCTAGGATACATAAGGGGCTTACCATATACCACCAGTATAGAGGCTGAACTCCATGCATTTTGGCAGGGACTCAAAATAGCCCTTGACTACAACTTCACACCTCTACAAATCTGCACTAATTCTAAACAAGTTGTAAGGATGCTAAATGAGGGAAACCTCCACTATATCTCTATTATTTTTTAATGCAGGTCATTGATGGAGCAACTGTGGAATCCAACACTGGAACATAATTTCAGAGAGCTGAATCAGGTGGCGGACCTCCTTGCAACGGAAGGAGCAGCAAGGAAGTTGTTTGGTAGGACAGAAGTTTTGGCAGTTCCTCCGGTGTTTGTAAACAAGGCTCTGTGGGCAGAGATCCTAGGAACTGTTTTTGTACGTAACATCAGGGCAAATCCCATTGTAATGCAAAACAATGACAATGCAACTCACGAGAGTAGTGGCTCTCAAACAATGGTGTAACTATTTTTGTTATATTTATATAATTATTCAGTTTACCAAAAAAAAAAAAAAGAGGATCCACACTATTGAGTTACAGCAGAAAGGCTTAAAGCTAACCTGAATCATACATCAGTAAGTGTTTTGTGGCATGGGGGGAAAGGACAAAGAAGAAAAGAGAAAATCAACGATAGGATAATGCCAAGTACAGATGTCAATTAGAAATTATTTTTAAAGCCAATAGTGAGCTAAAAAAAAACACAAACAGAAATTTTGACCGAAATAACATAAAATAATAATTGGCTTGTTTCATTGATTTGCACGATTGTAACACATTAAGACCTGAAGATAATAATTAAAAATCTTCCAAGTAGCAAAATCTCACTTGAGCACATTCTAACACAAGAAAGCAAAAGCTGTTAAATGGCCTATCAAATTTGACAGCTTTTTATCCCCAGAGATGCTACTTCTTGTTGCTACTTTGTATAGTAATTCCAAGGACAGCTTAGCTCTTTACCTCTATGAATATTTTCTAGCAGAGTCAACATTCTGCAGATGGCGGCAATACTGAGTAGTAACTAAATTTTATATATTCATAACATGCAGCTAGTTGCAAGAAAGTATAGAAGCTAATCTTGCTTCAAGGCTGCATTATCAGGACGATTTTGTTCAAGGTATCGCTTTGTCCTCTCAAGAACACCAAAGAATATTGATCCACCAATGCCTATCCAAAGCACTCTTGGCCCGATGCCCTATAAGGAAATTAAATTCCAAACTAACAGAGGTCAACAATTATGTGTCAGATATCAACTAATGAGTTTTAGATCAAAACGTACACATTCATATTTATTGCACATCGCAAAAGAAAGAAACTCAAGAGACTTGGGAGAAATGTGGGAAAATCCTTGTGTCGGTTCTTAGCAGGTTCTATTTGATGGAATAGTAGGATGATGCATCTAAAGTATAATGTTAAGAGAAGATGGCCAAAAGTACATTACATGAGTTTTATGTATATGCAGGGAACAATGAGGAAAAATGCATGGTATCAGCTAATGACAATATTAAGGTCCCATCGAAATCAGGCCTGGTTATGTAGCATGGAGCTATCAAAAATTAGTGATCAAGAAAGTAAAGGACCACAAGTCAGTGACTCTTTTTAAGTTTTTATACCCCTCGTAGTCCCGAGAAAGAAAATGCGGAAAAGGTGTGGTAGGGATGCTAAGCTCTTTCATCATCCATTTGATTTTCCATAAAGGAGACAAATAAAGAAACCAAGAAAATAAGCAGTCTCCAGGATAAAATAACCCAGATATGGGTCCTAGTACTGCAGTCTAAAAGGAATTGTGGGATCCCTCTACCTTTAGAAGTGCTGGAGCTCCTTCTTCTGCAACAATAATCCTCACACAATCAACGATGCCTTTGTACTGGTTGGCAGAACCCTGCACAGGAACAAGACTAGAGATTTCACATTACCTAAATTGCATGGAAAGTAGTCTTGCAATTTATGGAAGTCTCATTTTATTATAGACATGCATGCATGGGATGAAGAAATTAGGAGACACGGATCGTCTGAGTACCACGTGAAAAAAGTACCTGAACCATTAATCTTGTCTTAATGACATCAAGAGGGGTAGTTATAGCTCCAGTTAGAGCACCTGCAAAAAGTAGAGGTAACCATTGATAGCTTTAGAGCAGGTTCATTGTCTACATGCAGAAGCAGGAAAATCATATATTTACTGCAGCAACATGAGAAGTTATAATAGTAGACAGGCTAAACATTAGGAATTTCAGTTATTCACATTTCCTACAAAACAGTAACTTAGTCACATAATCATGCCAAATTATCGCTCAGTGCTGCATATTCATTCACTGAAATGGCGATTTTACAGTCTTTTCTTCGTGGCTTAAAAAACACTTTGCTGCATAAGTTTTAAGAGATTTCATTCATGGCAATTATTTTTTATTTATTTTTGATAAGAAATGAGAAGATTTCATTGATGTGTTCCAGCAATAATTCTGGTAGGGCAATGTATAATTGCAAGATCTTTTGAGGAGTTTTGGGATTGGCCCAAAGGATTTTCAAATTGCTGGTTCATTCTATGACTTTTCAAGAGTAAGATTAAGAACCCTGCAATTCAGTTTTCTACTATTCACAATTCATAGGACCTGAATTTACATAACTTCAAGCAAATGGCAAATTTGTGTTTTGTTCTTGAAGTGAAGCCATGCTTTATCATTTTGAGCACCAATTTATTAACCCAAATTAGGAATAGTCAAAATCATAGGGGTCATTTTGTGGTCCAGTCAGTTATGGGTGATTGTTGACTCACACAAAAACCAATGCAATTGTGCTATGTAAAAATTTATGTCTACTTAAGCCTACATTTCTTGATACTGCAGGCTTACATGAAAGAGCCAGCGACACTCTCTACGCAGCAGCTGAATCCTCAACTTAAATATTATAAATGAAAGCCAGCATGCCATAGTCAGAGAACTACAAATGAATTGACATGTAATAGGTCTTTGAAGGTGGATTACCAGCAAAAGCACCAATAACAGCATTCTCTGGATCATTCAAGTCCCTTTTTGCCTGGTACGAAGCACATAAAGCAGCTTTGATATTAGTAGTAATTTCAGAGACTCTAGCCATATCTTTTTCAATCAAACAGTAAAGTATTTGATCATTTCCATCTTTGATGGCAAGTCGAAAAGCAAAATCAGCAATGTAACGTTCCTCGTGTTTCTTAGTTCAAGAATATTCCGTGAACTTTCGTTGTTAATGAAGTGAGAAGTCAAGCAAGGAAGGAGAAAGACAAAAAGAAACGAGCTCAGAGAATTTCTAATTAACTTTTGAATACACCAGTTTAAGCAAAATCTTTTCTTATTCTCTTTAGCTTATACATCAAAATTTAGACTACGTGCAAATGAAGCTCTATCACACATATGTAGCCAACAGCGAAATGGGTAAGTTTTCTATGAAATTAATGAGAAGTTGCACTCAACATCTTGGAAAGCAGGATACTTACTGCCAGCTTATAACCTATCCGCAGCTGCTCGTAGATACAAAATTGGATGGCGTCAAATGGCAAATCTCGAAGTAGAAATGACCCATATCCCTACAAAAGTCCCCATATTACAATAAAATAAACCAAGTTTATATCTATCACGTAAATGTTGGACCTAACTATCCTTTGCAAAAAAACTGAACCAATTCCACGCAAAAACTGTTTTGAAATACAAAGGACAAATGGTGCTGGAACTGTGTGCAAGATATGTGACATTTAAAAAACTAGCATACCGCATAAAGACCTTTAAAACCTTCCTTAGAAACAATTAGGCGAACAGCATCAGGAGCCGAAGCAAATTGCCTAGTCTGCATTCGCTGTTTAATGACCTGTAGTCTCAAGAAACCAAATGCAANCTTGATATTAGTAAAATTTAAAGATTTGTGGAACTTACGCCCCATATCTTAGGGCTTACGCCTCGTCTCGTCAGAGTTAAAACGCATTGCCTCATGCCCCGTCTTTTAAAACATTGCTAAAAATGTTTATTTATGCATCTCACCCCTTTTCGTCCGACAAAGTATAAAAGTACTAAATCCACTTACTCTTTCAAAAAAAAAAAAAAAAAAAAAAAAAAAAAAAAGATAAGAAAAGGAGAATCCAGATATTCAGGAAAGTGAGAATCTCAAAAAAACTTCATTCACCTCAGTTGGAACACGAACGAAAGAAGCAGCAATGCCTCCTAAAGCACCAGCAGTCTGCATGAAGTTTGGAAGCTCTTATTTAGAAACAGAATTCCCACTGTGTAAGAGTAATATGCACGCTTCAGATGTCAACCACAGAGATATAAAAGCAACTTTTTTCTTGAAAACTATTCAAAATACCATAAGAATGTATAGGCATAACTTGAAGAATAGTGGCCTGAGAAAAATAATTTCGTGAGGATTCCAGATAGAGTAAAACGTAAGAGCATTTTACAGGAAAAATTTATATTTTATGAGGTGATAAAGAAACATGTTATCAGTAACCAGGAATTAGTGTGTGCTTGATAGACTGCAAGATTTGCATGATGTTGTTTTTTTCTTATTTCAATTGCATCTACGTTTCTTCTAGCCAACTACCTGAGTTTCCTAATGTATCACCTCGTCTAAGTACACCAATATTTTGTTCCATTTAAGTCATCAAATTCTTCTCCATGTGGCACCTCTTTCCTTTCTTCGTAGGGAACAAATGACCAAGGAATAGCATATGCCATCAAACACTCTCTAGAAAAGTTTTAAGAACGATTTCTAGTCACAAAAGTTCTATTAATGAATTTGGTCTATGTCATGTCACAAACTAGAAAACAGGACCTAGTGCAATCATGACAGTGGGAGGAGAAATATTCTCACAAGATGGGCCACAGCACTAAGATTTTCAGGAAGCATCTTCAATAACTTTTGCTTTGCCGGTTCATATACACCAACAAAAATGGCAGAAGCCCTGCGTAAAAGAACAGGATCAATAGAGATCACTACTAAATATCCTCAGGTAAGAAACCATACGAGAAAATAGGACTGTTCACCTCAGGAAATAAAAGCTAGTTAGGTTTGGAAAAGGGAATTTCATTTTCATCGGGTTCACAACAGTTCAGGTGTAAATACTTCTATGCTATTACACGGTATTTCTTTAGTAATACTTACGGTAGGACTCCAGCAAGATTTCCAGCAAGCCCAGAATACAACCCTTTCAAGGCTATTTGTCCTCCACCACGAGCTGCCTGCACAGGGAAACAAGTTAATAACAATTTTAATCAAAGCCAAGACACCCTATATCGTAAACATTTCTCTTGTTTCCTTGAACTGGACATCTAAAATACCTGCTGTTCTAGAGGACATGCAAATGCTAGAATTGAAGAAAGAATTCAAGATCAACCGGAGTAATGTAAATTTAAATGAAGAAAGCCTGACACTTTGCATTCCGACTATTTAAATAGCAGAAAATCTGAATATGAATAAGACAAAAAAACATGAAAAGCAGTGCTCAGCTGTATACAAATGCTATATCAGGGAGACCATGCAACAGAACATGACTATGAATCCTTCAACAGTTTATTCTGTCTAAATTATCTATCTACTCTCTCTTTCTCTCTTTTATCCAGCCTGTCAACATAAGGAGCAAATAGTCTTGACAATCTTAGCAGACACCAGTCTAGCATAGTAGCATTGCATACATAATTGACATTGACTTGTGATTATAAACAGGGATATTTAATAGTTGACTTTCCTGCAGTCGTGTTTTAATTGTATCAATGGGATATAAAGTTGTTTCAACGACAACGCCTGCTGTCCCTCCTGCTATGACACCCTCTGCACGAATATGACAAGATTAGAAGCACCAAACCTCAAAAAAAAAGGGAGAAAAGAAAAACCTTTTTGTCCTATAATAGTGTTGCTTACTACAAATTTCTTCTTGTTAGAAGTTAGGGACTCTATTTTTTCACTTTTCGTACCCACCCCCCAGGCAGTCTGAAATAGCAATAATGCATCATAAGTTTATGAGCACCAAGTTGCTCCAGGGAATAAATTATTCTGCATTTTGATAGGTTTATCACTTGATTTTTTTTGATTGGTGGGTTTAGCACTTGAATTTATACATATATTTACACTTTCTCATCGATATCAAATTGACAAGCCACTATTGCTATAGCAGTTCACATTCAAATTGAAAAAAAATAAAAGACAGAAAGAGTGGTAATATATGACAAGCATGCTCCAATATCGGCATGGTATTACTATAATTTCAGCAGACATACCAAATAGTATACGTAAGAAATCAAATGGTTTCTCTTCTCCACTGTTGACTGATGCGAAAAACTTTTTTGGTACCATCTGAAGGTTATCCATTTTTCTTCCAGATGCATCTGCAAAATCAGACCACCTCATCAAGAAAGAACAGGGAAACATAAGATAAAGAATCAATATAAATCTACATTCTAATATGACGTAATGCATGGGTAATCTTTTCTCTCTGTTTGAATAACAATCTTCATATCACTAAGATAAACCATACTTGATTGAGAAACCTTTAGCTTCTTCTTAAGTATATTATGTCCAAGAGACAAGAACATTCTAATAACTGAATAGATGACATGCCAAAAAATCCTGCTACCTCTCCATTTCATGCTTGTTTTGTGCAGATTGGTATCCAAGACATCAGCTAAAGAATAGTTAGCTAATCTCATTCGACAATTAAAGTTGAATGTACTCGAAATTGATGAAAAGAAATATTTCACAATTATCATAGTAGCACATATTAGTGATCAGATATGTAAGTTGAAATACTTGCACTTAATATAACATCAACATTGTCAAATCAAAATATCAACAGTTTTCCATCTTCAAGTCATATTAGTACGAAAAACCACTAAACTCCAGTAAATATTTAAACCAGCAATTGAGAGTGTCTAGTAACCTTAGACTAAATATCCAGATCTCCAATGTTCAAGAACTAGAATCCCCTAAAAATATTTACCTCATTCATCATTCTTTGCCACAATTGGGAGTAGCGGAAACCCTACACCCCCGTATCTTCGGGTGGATATGCAGATTCACTTATATCAATTTACTAATTATTTATTTTATGACGGTGGTGTCTGGACCAGCTTGTGCGCACCTCGACTATTTCACTGATACTTGGTACCTCCCACGAGCGCAGGTCCCGGGTAACTCTGCTTACACCAAGGCTTAGGTAGATGATAAGTGCAGGGATTTGATACCTCATGGTTCTCCTCCCACTTCGTTGACCGCTAGGCCAAGTGACTTATATCAATTACTATTTTGATTTCCAAATATGATTATACCTGCACCCACATTAATGCCAATGCATCCTTTTTCTCCAGAAGCATAAATCTGCTTCNTTAAGTAAGAACCCCTTTTTCTATCTTTTTATTCTTCTTTCATCTCATTATTCTTTTTATTAAAAAAAAAAAAAAAGGTCTGGTGTACAAGGCATTCCGTGTACATGCAGGGTCGGGGGAAGGGTTGCATCTCAAGGGGGTGTATGTAGATAACCTACTCTAATACAAGCATTAGTGGTTGCTTCAATGGCTCGAAGTCGTGACCTATAGGTCATAGGGAAACAATTTTACCATTGCTGCAAGACGCCCCTTCCTCGTTATTCTTTAAATGATACGAAAAAATATGATAATATCCATCTGCTCCTTTTTATTTGTTGTTTAAGATTTTATAGTAGCATTAATTATAACGGTTTGTTTGACTAGATTACTCTTTGTCTCTTCTCGAATAGCCTTTGCTAAAAGATTGGTAACTTTACAAAATTGTATAGATCATTTACTCGAGCAAGGGTCTTTATTTTCTAAAGCAACAATTATATTTTGGACCAAATTTGTTTAGCTAAAACAACAAATATAAAGGATTCCAATAACGAGAATGAACCATTTTATTGCAGATTGTAACTTCTAAATGTTGTCAAAAGAATTTTTACACTATCAGGTCACCTAACAGATAACTATAGGTAACTAACTATCCATAATAGTTAGATTAGTAACATAAAAAATGGTCCATATAACCTGACAACATACTAAAATACGCTGATAAAATAAAAAAATAAAAAAAGATCTTTGATTAGTAGTGTTTGTAAGCTAAATCCTTTATTGCACTGTTACGTTATATAGAGAGCAATTGCTTTGAATACTGAATATTCTTTTGTGGATTGACTATAAGTACTTATTAATGTTTCAAAGGTACGTTGCTGTTGGAAATGAACCATTCTTGAAATCATACAACGGTTCATTTATGAAATCAACATTTCCAGCATTACAAAATGTTCAAAAAGCTCTCAATTCTGCTGGACTTGGAGACAAAATCAAAGCAACAATCCCACAAAATGCCGACGTTTATGAATCCGGTAATTCAGGTCCATCACAGGGCGATTTTCGATCAGATATCAGAGACTTAATGCAGAAAATTTGTCGATTTTTCAAAGACAACAACGCTCCGTTCCTCGTAAATATTTACCCTTTTCTTAGTCTCCACGAGAACAATAATTTTCCTATTGAATTTGCATTCTTTGATGAAAAAGCCAAGCCTGTACGTGACAACGGAATATCGTACACTAATATGTTTGATGCTAATTTAGATACTTTAGTTGTGTCATTGAAAAAAGCTGGTTCTCCTGGTGTAAAGGTAATTGTTGGAGAAATTGGCTGGCCAACAGATGGAGATTTATATGGAAATGTTACATTGGCTAAAAAATTTTATAGTGGATTTTTCAAGAAAATGGCTACAAAGAAAGGAACTCCACTTTACCCTGGATATATTGAGTATTATCTTTTTAGTTTAACAGATGAGAACCAAAAGAGTATTGCACCTGGAAGTTTTGAACGACATTGGGGTGTTTTTAAATATGATGGACAAGCTAAGTTTCCAATGGATTTCACAGGACAAGGACATGAGTCAATGCCTGTTGGTGCAAAGAACATCAAATATTTGGAGAATAAATGGTGTGTTTTGAACAAATATGCTGAAGATATAGGTAAACTATGAATTTCTATTACTTTCTTATTTTCTTAAATTTTATTTTATATTATTTTCGATTAAGATGAGCTTAGATGAAGCGATATGAACAGTGATTATAGTAGTTAATATAGCTGGGCAAAAATGGGCGAGATTGGTCGAGTAATGATATTGGAGCGTGATGAACTTAAACGAAGCAATATGAGTAGTGATGATTACTTATCATAGTTAGAGGAGACAAATGGGGAATCTTAGTAGCTCGGTTGGTTGGCTACCTAAACTTTTACCTTGTTGGTTAGGGTTCGATTCCCCATCTTGTAATCTCCTACCCCATTATAAAAAAATACAAAAACTAGAGGTGGCAAATGAGCAGGTTGAGTCAAACTTGGACTAGTCAAAATAGGTTAAATCAATAAACAAGTTATGACTCAACTCGCCAAAATTTGCTTGGTCAAGAGGGACCAAATAACGGGTTATAACCTAAGCTGCCCAACATGACTCAAATCTTCCTTCCTTTTTTATTTTGCTTTTTGGGCTAAGAAAAAGTTATTAGCTAAGATTTTTCTTAATTTTCAATATTCTCCAAATTTGTTTTGGTATGTTTAGTGTTTGAATTGCATTTTGACATGTTGGGTTATACTATTTGACACTTTTGACCCAATAGTTTGATGAGTCATTTCGGGTTCAACCAGTTGGGTCCAGTCAACAAACAGATAATAATTCGGCTTGTTAAACTTGACCGGTTTAGGAAGGGTACCAAAAATGGATTAACTTTGTCACTTCTAAGTATAACCGAGTCTAACAAATTGAGACGTTGTTGTTATTGTTGAACAGGTAGACTACCTTCGAGCGTACAATACGCTTGCTCCAGGTCCGATTGCACGGCATTATCTTATGGAGGATCATGCAACAAGTTGGATGCAGATGGAAATGTTTCTTATGCATTCAACATGTATTATCAAATGAACAGTCAAGATGTGGAATCATGTGTATTTGATGGATTGGCACAGATTGTAGAAAAAAATGCTTCAACTGGTTCATGCCTATTCCCAATTGGTTTAGAGAGTGCTGGAGTTAGAATTGGTTTGGATGCAATGCTTCACATTCTTGCTGGTTTCTTCATCTTTTTGGCAATTCTAGTCTAGGCTAGAAATTTAATTGACAAGTTAATTTGCTTTTGAATGTCATGTATATATCAGCCACATATGTTTGGTTGACTAAATAACAGAAGTACTAATTAATATTTACTCTGTTGAAACTTAGATGTCTCATTTTGTATGGATACAAATTGTTATAAGATAATGAAGTTTTGTTGTACAGAATGGAAAAAGAAGTTTTGTAGTATTTTAGATGAGGAGTTTAACTTTTACTATGTCAACATTGTTAAAAGTTTGCATATTACTAAATCACCTAAAATATAATTGTTGGTCCATAAAAAGAGGGACTAATAACCTGAAAATAAGGCAAATTATGTAATACAATATGATAAAACGCATTGATAGTGTAAAAGTTCAGCAGAACTCGGTTAACTTTCCTACTCTGATAGCATCTCTGAACGACAGGTACCAACAACTACCGTAATGAAAGAATAAATCTATTAAGTAGGAAAGAGTTCTCGAAGGAAGCCTAGAAGCAAAGATCCAACACTTCTGGAAATTACACTTTTACTTCTTTTTTTTACAAATAAAAATACAATCCCCCCTCACATATGAATCGAATAGCTTCGAAGGAGACTTCATATTTGAAACGCAGGAAGGGAGGAAAATCGATTTGACTCAAATCCTAGACGAATAAAAAAGAGTTGTTTCAGGCACGAACCACGTAGAAAACTCACGAACCTAATATAGTTGATTCTATGGTTAAAGACCTAGGTCTTGCACCTGAACTCGACACAATCATTTATTTACAGGCATGCACCAATGATAGTAGTCATGGTTGATTCGAGGATCTACGCGGCAGAGAAAACTCTTCAATCGTGTTGCATTTTTTCTGATTGATGCTATTCTAGATTGTTCCATATTGACCGTGTTGGATTTTACATCTGTTACAGTTATAGTTTTCTAGAATAATTAGTTGTTTAGTTTTAAGAGAAGTCTGCTAGAAGATTCAGAATTTTAATTATAGTAAGAGTTTAGTAATTTAGTTGTAGGAGGAGTCTACTACTTTATTTATTTGGCTATTTAAAGCCCTATGATTAATAAAATTTTAGAGACAGTTTTTCAATCTTATTTTCAACCTTCTTGCTGCTTGCATATTTTTCTAAAATCTATAACAGTGGTATCAGATCCTCCATTGATCTTGACGGATCTCTGAATTAGCTGAAAAACAACCAATTTCAACCACTTTTAAACCATACGCATTTTTACCCATACCGATTTTTAGCCAAATTTTTAACAATAGCAAGCAGCGGTCTCTCTTTGAATACCCCACAAACTTTCACTGGTGAAAACTATTAGATTTGGTCAGTAAGATAAAATCCTATCTTGAAACTTATGATCTATGGGAAGTTGTAATGGAAGACAAACTTATACAACCACTTCCTGCAAATCCTACCCTTGCCCAAATCAAAGCTCATTCAGATGAGAAAACCAGAAAATACAAAGCTAAAACTATAATTTAAAATTCAGTTGCAGATTCAATCTTCTCTTAAATCATTGCATGTGAGACAGCAAAAGAGGCTTGAGAAGCACTCAAACAGGAGTATCAAGGAAGTGAACGAGGCAGACAAAATCAGATTTTAAATTTGAAAAGAGATTTTGATTCTCTTAGAATGTAAGATGATGAGACCATCGCTAAGTATTCTGACCGAATTTCTTTAATTGTCAATAAAATCAGGTTACTTGGCGAGGATTTTAAAGATGACAGGATAGTTGAAAAATTCTTGTGACAATTCCCGAGAGATTTGAATCCAAAATTTCCTCTCTGGAAGAGTCTAAAGATCTCTCTACCATATCTGTTGCAAAATAAATAAGTGTTCTTCAAGCATAAGAGCAAAGAAGGGCCTTTAGACAAAACAAAGTTACTGAGGGTATTTTTTATGCGAAACACCAAAAAGAAAAGTCGATTATCCTTATTGCAAATATTGCAAAAAGAAAACACACTTAGAAAAATTTTGTTGGTGGAGACCTGATGCATTATGTGAAAATTGCAAACAAAAAGGTCATGTTACAAAAGTGTGCAAGTTCAAAGATGCTCATGCACAAGCACTAATAGCAGAAGAAGGAATTGCGGATGACCTTCTTTAGACTGCAGCAACAGAAGTAAGGAGGAGTGTTGGATTTTGCATCTGTTACTGCTATTGTTTTCTAGAATAATTAGTTGTTTAGTTTTAGGAGGAGTCTGCTAGAAGATTCAAAATTTTAATTACAGTAAGAGTTTAGTAATTTAGTTGTAGGAGAAGTCTACTACTTTATTTATTTGGCTATTTAAAGCACTATGATTAATAAAATTTTAGAGACAGTTTTTCAATCATATTTTCAACCTTCTTGCTGCTTGTATATTTTTCTAAAATCCATAACAGTGGTATCAGATCCTCCATTGATCATGACGGATCTCTGAATTTGCTGAAAAACAATCAATTTCAACCACTTTTAAACCATACGCATTTTTACCCAAACCGATTTTTAATCAAATTTTTAACAATGGCAAGCAGCGGTCTCTCTTTGAATACCCCACAAACTTTCACTGGTAAAAACTATTAGATTTGGTCAGTGAAGATGAAATCCTATCTTGAAGCTTATGATCTATGGGAAGTTGTAATGGAATACAAACTTATACAACCATTTCCTGCAAATCCTACCCTTGCCCAAACCAAAGATCATTCAGATGAGAAAATCAAAAAATACAAAGCCAAAATTATAATTCAAAATTCAGTTGCAGATTCAATTTTCTCTTAAACCATTGCATGTGAGACAGCAAAAGAGGCTTGAAAAACACTCAAACAGGAGTATAAAGGAAGTAAACGAGGCAGACAAAATCAGATTTTAAATTTGAAAAGAGATTTTGATTCTCTTAAAATGTAAGATGATGAGACCAACGCTAAGTATTCTGACCGAATTTCTTTAATTGTCAATAAAATCAGGTTACTTGGCGAGGATTTCAAAGATGACAGGATAGTTGGAAAATTCTTGTGACAATTCCCGAGAGATTTTGAATCCAAAATTTCTTCTCTAGAAGAGTCTAAAGATCTCTCTACCATCTCTGTTGCAAAATAAATAAGTGATCTTCAAGCATAAGAGCAAAGAAGGACCTTCAGACAAAACAAAGTTACTGAGGGTATTTTTTATGCGAAACACCAATAAGAAAAAGTCGATTATCCTTATTGCAAATATTGCAAAAAGAAAACACACTTAGAAATTTTTTGTTGGTGGAGACCTGGTGCATTATGTGAAAATTGCAAACAAAAAGGTCATGTTACAAAAGTGTGCAAGTTCAAAGATGCTCATGCACAAGCACTAATAGCAGAAGAAGGAATTGAGGATGTCCTTCTTTAGACTGCAACAACAGAAGTAAGGAGGAGTGTTTGATTTTGCATCTGTTACTGCTATTATTTTTTAGAATAATTAGTTGTTTAGTTTTAGGAGAGGTCTGCTAGAAGATTCAGAATTTTAAATATAGTAAGAGTTTAGTAATTTAGTTGTAGGAGAAGTCTACTACTTTATTTATTTGGCTATTTAAAGCCCTTTGATTAATAAAATTTTAGAGACAGTTTTTCAATCATATTTTCAACCTTCTTGCTGCTTGCATATTTTTCTAAAATCCATAACAGTGGTATCAGATCCTCCATTGATCTTGACGGATCTCTGAATTCGTTGAAAAATAATCAATTTCAACCATTTTTAAACCATACGCATTTTTATCCATACCGATTTTTAACCAAATTTTTAACAATGGCAAGCAACGGTCTCTCTTTGAATACCCCACAAACTTTCATTGGTGAAAACTATTAGATTTGGTCAGTGAAGATAAAATCCTATCTTGAAACTTATGATATATGAAAAGTTGTAATGAAAGACAAACTTATACAACCACTTCCTTCAAATCCTACCCTTGCCCAAACCAAAGCTCATTCAGATAAGAAAACCAGAAAATACAAAGCCAAAATTATAATTCAAAATTCAGTTGCAGATTCAATCTTCTCTTAAATCATTGCATGTGAGACAACAAAAGAGGCTTGAGAAACACTCAAACAGGAGTATCAAGGAAGTGAACGAGGCAGACAAAATTAGATTTTAAATTTGAAAAGAGATTTTGATTCTCTTAGAATGTAAGATGATGAGACCATCGCTAAGTATTCTGACCGAATTTCTTTAATTGTCAATAAAATCAGGTTACTTGGCGAGGATTTCAAAGATGACAGGATAGTTGAAAAATTATTGTGACAATTCCCGAGAGATTTGAATCCAAAATTTCTTCATTGGAAGAGTCTAAAGATCTCTCTACCATCTCTGTTGCAAAATAAATAAGTGATCTTCAAGCATAAGAGTAAAGAAGGGCCTTCAGACAAAACAAAGTTACTGAGGGTATTTTTTATGCGAAACACCAAAAAGAAAAAGTCGATTATCCTTATTGTAAATATTGCAAAAAGAAAACACACTTAGAAAATTTTTGTTGGTGGAGACCTGATGCATTATGTGGAAATTGCAAACAAAAAGGTCATGTTACAAAAGTGTGCAAGTTCAAAGATGCTCATGCACAAGCACTAATAGCAGAAGAAGGAATTGAGGATAACCTTCTTTAGACTGCAGCAACAGAAGTAAGGAGGAGTGTTGGATTTTGCATCTGTTACTGCTATTGTTTTCTAGAATAATTAGTTGTTTAGTTTTAGGAGGAGTCTGCTAGAGGTTTCAAAATTTTAATTATAGTAAGAGTTTAGTAATTTAGTTGTAGGAGAAGTCTACTATTTATTTATTTGGCTATTTAAAGCACTATGATTAATAAAATTTTAGAGACAGTTTTTCAATCCTATTTTCAACCTTCTTGCTGCTTGCATATTTTTCTAAAATCTATAACAGTGGTATCAGATCCTCCATTGATCTTGACGGATCTCTGAATTCGCTGAAAAGCAGCCAATTTCAACCACTTTTAAACCATACGAATTTTTACCCAAACCGATTTTTAGCCAAATTTTTAACAATGGCAAGCAGCGGTCTCTCTTTGAATACCCCACAAACTTTCACTGGTAAAAATTATTAGATTTTGTCAGTGAAGATGAAATCCTAACTTGAAGCTTATGATCTATGGGAAGTTGTAATGGAATACAAACTTATACAACCACTTCCTTCAAATCCTACCCTTGCCCAAACCAAAGCTCATTCAG